CAAATGATGCAAGTCAAAATTTTGGATCACTTACAAGTATCTGTGATGATATTCTACCCTAAAAGATAAAATGATTTAAAAACCCTTAGGGTACCCATTGACAAAGCTATTTAGTTAAAGAATTCTGTTGCTCAAACACCTACCACCTTGTCATTTATTTATTTATTTTTTTATAAATGGTGTGGGGGCACAAAGGGAAGGACAAAGTAGTATTTAAACACTGGGAATGTCATGAAGCCCACATCTTGATTTAATCATATAATAACTTAAGTTATAAATTATTTTTACAGGCTGAAAATCCCTAATCTGAAAATCCAAAATCTGAAATACTCCAAAATCCAAAATTTCTGGAGCACCAACATGATGCCACAAGTGAGAAATTTCACACCTAAACTATATGTAGTCAAAACACTGCAACACAAAAACACTGGCTAAAATTACCCTCAGGCTATGTATATAAGAAACATAAATGAATTTCATGTTTAGACATGTGTCCCATCCCCACAATAATGTCATCATTATATAAAATATTGTAAAACCAAACAATCTGAACTCTCAAATACTTCTGGTCCCAAGCATTTTGGATTAGAGATACTCAATTTGTATCAGTAAATGAAGAGTTGTGTGGTCAGTTTGGAGAAGAGATGAGAGAAATTATAGGTTTGTGAGTACGGAAGAGAAGGGCACTGTCAGCCTTCTTTTTGGAGAAGTTTTTGCTATAGGGTGTGTGCACTCACCAGAAAGACAGAGAGACAGAAAGCGAGGAATCATCCCCTGGGGGGATGGCCACACTGCAATCCCTTCTCCTCCATTCTCCTATCGGGATCTTGGGCACGCACGCACACGCCCCCAGCTTGAGTTTAAGCCACCAGGTCCGAGACTCGAACCACGGTCAAGTCAAACTACACGAGAGTCCAGCGACATAGCCATTACACCAACTGCTGGTCCCAGGATTTTAAAAATCTTGTTCTAGGACAACTAAATTCCAGTGAATAAATAGTGAGAACTACTGTCTTCACTGCACGTTCTTTCATTTCAAGTGGTATTTTTCCCTTCTCGTTTTAGTTAAGAGTAGTAAGAAACTAGACTAGCGCTTTCTGTGCTCAGTTGTGTAGAAGCTGTGTAACGAAAGACCTGAGCACTTGAATTCTGTCCCGGAAACGGACATGATAGCTACCTCCTTGAGAAGAATGAGCAGGTCATTGTGGTAGTGGCTCAGGAAGTGAAGGGTAAGTGCCTCTAGCCAGGAACGTCTTCCCACCAAGTTCATGACTGAGTTCATGTGTCACAGTGGGTAAGTAGTAAGTCTGTCTTAGCCAACTGTCCGTACCAGACTTTTTTTAAAAAAATAAATGTACTTGTGTTTCCCTCTATGACAAGAGAATTTTCCTCTTTTCATTAATCACCCTCCAAAGGAAGTCCTTCCCACAATACACAGTTTAAAATACAACATGTACCCTTACCAAGCGAACCCTAAACAAATATCCTTGCTAAACAGAAGGCCCTTCTATTTCATAAGACCAGATTTAAGAAAATGATAGGAAGAGCTTCTTATTTTAAAAAGCTTTTTAGATTAAGAAAACGGACAGTAATTTATGTTAATGTATCAATCTCTATGGGCTTCTCTAGTATGAAAAAGGATAAATAATGCCGACACTGTTTTTCAGATAACAAGTGCTAACTCTGCCAAGGAAATGGCAAAGAGTCTGATGGAACAGGCAGAGATGTGTACACAAAGGTGAACATAAATAAATGTGGGTATGATAAACTCGGACGCTGGGGACGGACATAAACAGGTATGCAATTGGTCAGAGATGGCTGCAGGCAGAAGGTAAGACACTGCCCCAGCTGTATCTCTGTAAGTTCGAAGGGGTTTCCTGGTCTAACAGCAGAATTTCTTTCTATTAAGAAGGTTAAAAAAGGCCCACTTCCTTCTTGGACAATTCAGAATGCATTCTTGTAATATTAACGAATTATAACACAAAATTCACTACTGTGTCAAATATTTAGAAACAAAACAAGAGGAAGAACCAGGATACAAAAGGAGGATGGTACAAAAGGAATATTAAATACCTTTAAATATCTGATGCTGTTTAAAAGCTATTAGAGTGGCACCTGGAACCCCAAAGTATCTACTTTCCCCTGGGAAAGAAAGGCTATGCCTCTTCAATCATTCTTAAATGTAAAGAGGTTTGACCCCCTTGCAATGGATAAAAGTCACCCAAAAAATGAACAAAAGAGGTGTTTGGAAAAACCAGAACACCATTCATCCCAGCTAACGACTTGTTCATTATGAGTGATGATGGATAAAGACTTCTCATGCTGAGATGAAATCAAGATTTATATGCATTGTTTCCTCTCCCAACTTGTGGGAAGATCATCATCATTTAATTCTATCTCTGCGGCCAGTGATGGGCATCCAGAGAGCTGGTTATCAAACGGCGCAGTCAGCTGGCAAAAGCCGAAACGTGCAGTTGGCACATCTGGACGGAGCCGCCAC